ATACTTGATTACTTTTGAAAGTAAAGAAGAAAGAGTGCTTGTTGCCACACCAACACAAACTAAACTTTTGTTTTCTTGATCTGATCATGCATGCATCATTAACACCTGTATATACTCTAGCTTATATTTAATAGTTGGTCTGTCGCTGTAAATGATACTCATAACCTTGATTGTGATTTAATTCTGTAATAATTTATGACCAATTATAATGTAATTAGTTGTTAATCTCAAAATTTTACGTTTAACACTCAGGTATTAGAGTATGCATAAAATACTGCACACAAGTGCAAACCATTGTTGAAGACTTGAACCCATTCCAACAATTGTAACTGTATGCATGCAAGTATATAATTACAATATCTTGTGCAGTGTGACTCTTAATGTATGCAGTCATAGAGTTCAAAAGCAAAGCATACAAACACATGTAGTGGTTGTATTTTTTAAGCACATGTATGCATGTAAGAAACTTTTTCAGTGTTACCCATTACAGCATATTTCAAAAACAAAAGCTCAAACCACTGTTCAGGCTACTCAAACAAATGTATATATGTATTATAAGCACATAAATGCAAAACACTTGTTTAGTGTGACCCTGTACAGCATGGTCACAAAAGCAAAAGCTCAAATTACTGTTCAGGCCACTCAAACAAATGTATGTATGTATTATAAGCTCATCAACGTAAAACACTTGTTCAGTGTGAACCTGCACAGCATAGTTCAAAAGCAAAGCTCAAACAAATGTATGTATGTATTATAAGCACATAAATGCAAAACACTTGTTCAGTGTGACCTTGCACGGCATAGTTCAAAAGCAATTGCTCAAACCACTGTTCAGGCCACTCAAACAAATGTATGTATGTATGCATTATAAGCTCATAAATGTAAAACACTTGTTCAGTGTGACCCTAAATAACACAGTATTTCAAAAAAACTCAAAAAGTAGTTAGTGAATATGTAGGTATATACTATAATAATTATTATATCAGGTTAATACAAATAGTTTCTGCAACCCTTCACTGCACTGCACATATACATGCATACATGCACATTTTAGTATCTGTGCATGTATACTAAGTACTTTTCCAGTTTGATGAATTGAAATATATATAGCACTACGACCTTTTTATCACTCCTGAAAACACACACACTGCATGACAATAATAAGCTGTTTTGAACTTGTTAATTATTTTTAAATGATTGTTCATGTATCACTAGTAATAAAATTTAGTGAATCAATTGTAATTGGCCTTTTATGATCACTATATTCAACACATTCTTTTGACAAAGCCACTAAACAATCAACTTGAAGGACTTTAGAACTTAAAATTAGGATAATACGTCCAAATGAGTAAACATCTGATGCTTTGCTTTGCTTAGATACACCATCACGCACATCAGGAGCTATATGGGGGTGGCAAACTTTATACTGATCAATTTCAGCTTTAGAAAGTTTATATTTTAGCCCATCCTTTTCATAGCAAGATTTTTCAAAAGCAATTAAAACAGTTACTTTCAGTAATTAAAATGTTGTCTTCTTTTATGTCATTGTGTAATATATTCTTGCTATGAATATAATCAAGCCCTCTAATAGCACCAATCAAAATTTTTTTCCAATCCCATGAAAGAGAAATGTTTTGCTTCTTTCTGGCTAACAAAACTGAGTGAAGTGTGTATGACCTTTCCTCCATTCCATAAAATTTTAGAACTAGCATTTTATGCTTTGATTCAAGACACTCCATGCAAAAAAGCCACATTTTCATGGCACAAGAGAAATAACATGTTTGCCTCTCGATAAAAGCTATTATTGTTTTTAGATCGTTTCAAAACTTTAACACATGCTTCCAGGGGCCCGACAGTTGTAAAAATACACTTGCCTAACACACCAGAACCAAGGAATCTCTCTTTATTGATCACTAGTTCATTCCTAAAAAAAGATCCTTATCCTTTCACATAATACCTCTGTAGTACTCCTAGTGGTAATATGTGAAGCCTTTTATAGCAGATTGATTTGAATGTGAATTAAAACAAAAGCTAGTCTTAATAGATGCAGATTTATTCACTTGTGACTGTAGCAATGTTCTACACAAATTAAGAAGGATTATCGATTTCTATGCATTTACAACTTACAATTACAATTCATGTGACAGTAAGATTCATAGGGGATATGTGTGCTAAGTACATTTATATAACTTACAAGTAGGGCCATAATGTTTAACATACATATAAAATTGGCTGCAATCTTAGACAACAACTTTATTAAGAGTTGAATGAGGAAAACATTTTTTTTGGCTTTCTAATTTTTAATGTCATCTTTGGACTTCTAGAAAGCATTTGACCTAAAAGGAGGCTTGCAGTCACTTAAAAGATAAATTGCTATTGAGAAATACCAAATGGTTTCAGGCTTTTTGTGTACCATATTGGAAAACTGACATCCAAAAAATATTTCTATCTTAAAATATATTACCATATGCAATTAATATACTTAGCACACACATCCTCATATTGTTATAAATTTTTACATCATTTTCATGCAGCAACCATGCATATTGTGTACAATTAAAGGCAGGTTTTTATACACTAGGCCTGACATTTTTTTGATGCTAAAATAGAATTTCATTGTAAGCATGCATCAAAAGGTCAAATCCCCCACGCTTCAGTTTAATTAAAAATTGACAATAAGGTGGCCTAGTACCATGATATGTGTGTAATTCTCCCGAACACAGGCCACGCTTTACAGGAAAAGGCTAATAATGTTACTACTACACAACTCAATAAAATAACACTATAATACATCTAAAATTACATTCCTAGACAACAGAACTACAGTCACTCAAGACACTGACCCGACAACCCGAGATAAACTGAACTGACCTCTTTAGGGAGAAGTTGTGCTTGGTTAGGCAAGTGATTGAGGCTGTCAATTTATCCTTCTCCTCGCGCATACATTTTAAATGATAATTTAGCCTTTCTTTTCTGCCCATAAATGGTGTTGGTCTTTTCTTTTTGTACTTATGAGCCCTTTTCCTACCTATGTCTGTTTTTCCCATACTCAATAGTTGATATTAAATGGGCGGATCGAGTGACGAGTGCTAGTGCGATCGCGAACAGCCAGCTGGATAATCACGTGATATTGCAGGAGGCACCACTAGGCAAATGCAGTTATAGCCATAATTCTTTCAGTAGACTTTAAGTTACAAGGTCAGTACTATTATACAAGGGTCATTTTATGTATCATATTATACAAATAATCGTTTTAGAAATGAGTACTAGGTTCTATGGAAGTATACCAAACTCTTCCACCTGTAGTGGGCAACGTCATGGTGTTCCCGACAGTTGTGAATCTTCGCACCTCCAGGCCTCCTAAGTTTATGATAATGGAATAAATAGAAAGCTTGATGCTATATTGTCTGGTATGCAGGAACAGGCTAAAAAGATAGATTACATTCAGGAGCAGCTAGACCAGACTATATCTTTGACTGATATGGCAACACAGTTAGTGAATATACATGAACAGTAGCTAAACACTTTCCATCTACATACTAATTTATACTGTAGGGTGCCTTTTTTGAAGGCTGTAAATTTCGCAATGTTTTAAAGATTCACAAAAATAAAAAAAATGCAGTACAAGAGAGCATAAATTTATGAAAATTAAATCTGCAACATGAAAATCGGCGAAATCAATAGCCCATAAAAAAAGCCATTCTACGGTATGTATATCACATTTGCTGCTTCATTTTCATATTTGTAGCGTAATCTAT